AGGTCAATGCTTTTGACTCTGTAACATGTACACCCCTCACCTGGCGGGACTCTTAAAAACAGCTTCTGGTTTATTGAGGCCAGAATTCTACTTTTTTTTTTTTTTTTTTTTGAGATAGTCTCTCTTTGTCACCCTGGGTAGAGTGCCATGATGTCATAGCTCATAGCCCTCAAACTTTCGGGCTCAACTGATTCTCTTGCCTCAGCCTCCCTTGTAGCTGGGACTACGGGTGCCCGCCACAATGCCTGGCTATTTTTAGAGACAGGTTCTCACTCTTGTTCAGGCTGGTCTCAAACTCATGAGCTCAGGCAATCTACCTGCCTCAGCCTCCCAGAGTGCTGAGATTATAGGCATAAGCCACTATGCCCAGCCCAAGAATTCTGGGTTTCTAACTCCTGGGTGATGCTGGAACAGCTCTATGGCCTACCATACACAGCTGAGCCAAATTCAGAGATTATTCTCTTTAGGTCCACTGGGAAAAGGGATTCAGTCCTACTAGTCTCAGCCTCAGCACACCTGGGGACCTTCTAAGATATACTAAGGGGTTACCAGGCATGGTGAATCATGCCCGTAATCATAGCACTCTGGGAGACCAGTTGGGTGGATCACCTGAGCTCAGAAGTTTGTAGACCAGCCTGAGATAGAGCAAGACCCCGTCTCTAAAAAATAACTGGGTGTTGTGGTGGGCACCTTCATTAAATTCCCAGCTACTTAGGAGGCTGAGGGAAGAGGATCACTTGAGCCCAAGAATTTGAGGTTGCTGTGAGCTATGGTACCACGGCACTCTACCCAGGGTGAAAAGCATGAGACTCTGTCTCAATCAATCAATCAATCAATAAAATATACTAAGGTATAGGTCTTATTGCAAACCAATTAAATCAGAAGGGGGGGTGAGTTTTGTTTTATTTTTTTGAAACAGAGCCTCAAGCTGTCGCCCTGGGTAGAGTGCTGTGGCATCACAGCTCACAGCAACCTCAAACTCCTGGGCTTAAGCCATTCTCTTGCCTCAGCCTCCCAAGTAGCTGGGACTACAGGTGCCTGCTATAACGCCCGGCTGTTTTTTGGTTGCAGTCGTCATTGTTGTTTGGCAGGCCAGGCTGGATTCAAACCCGCCAGCTCTGGTGTATGTGGCTGGCGCCTTAGCTGCTTGAGCTAAAGGCGCTGAACCTCTTTTTGTTTTTTGGGTTTTTTTTTTCAGACAGAGTCTCACTGTGTCACCCTTGGTAGAGTGCCATGGTGTCACAGCTCACAGCAACCTCAAACTCTTTGGCTCAAGTAATTTTCTTGCCTCAGCCTCCTAAATAGCTGGAACTACAGGCTCCCACTGCTCAGCTATTTTTTGTTTGTTTGTTTAGCAGGCCTGGGCCAGGTTGGAACCCACCAACGCCAAGCACGTGGTCGGTGCCCTAACCGCTGAGCTCTGGGCACCGAGCTGGGAGTGGGTTGTTTTGTATTGTTTTTAAAACTTCCCAGATAATTCTAGTGAGAAATGAGGTTGCTTGTGGAGGTGAAACCCTGGTCTAACCATGTGTGTTATAGATACAGATGCATGTGAGCTGCGAGAACACAGCGGGTTTGAAAATGAGTACAGTGGCTCAGCGCCTGTGGCTCAAGTGGCTAAGGCACCAGCCACATACACCTGAGGTGGTGGGTTCGAATCCAGCCTGGGCCCACCAAACAATGAGGGCTGCAACCAAAAAATAGC